CCTTCTACCTCTCTGCAGGCTGCGATGCCCCTACCTCCACGAAGCCCTTGCTGACCGCTCCAGGCCCCCCGTGTACTGCACGGTAACCTCAATTGCACATGTTAGCAGAGTCCGCCCAGTACCCAGATTATGGCACTCTGAGGTGGTTTCCTCCATTGGTGCACAAACCTGAAAGGCAAGGTCAGTGCCTGGTCTGCTCTGGTTCTCCAGTGCACTCAGCACAGGGCTTGGCACCAAAGAGGCACTCAACCAAGCCTATAAAAGAAGAGGAAGGATCCTCTTCTCTCCCTGATGCCATCTTACTCATCATTAGTGAGGGGAGTGTTAGTGGGGACAGGGGGACAGTTCCTGCTCAACCTCCCCCTGCTAACAGAGGGAGCTTCGATGGCCCCAGGCTCCCCTGCACCCCTGACCCCACCTGCTGCTGCTTTTCAGTTGCTCCCAGTCACGGTCACAAGGGGACTGGAGAGGAACGGTGACTCAGCCCAATTCATCACCACAGTGGAAAAACCCAGTCACCTGTCCTCCTGGCAAAGGGACCGGAGCTGCCTCTGCATCTGGAAGGGCAGCAAGCCATACTTTTCTCAAGGTCCTTTTGTCTTTCACCTGCTGAAAAATCAAAGAGTAAAGGATGTAGGAATATTATCACTTGACACTGTAGACTTGCAGTGTGATATGACTCTCAGCGACCCAGGATGGTGTGTTTCCTCCATGCCAGGCTCCGAGTTAAGTGCCCATATGTGTCATCTCACAGCAGTTTCACAACAAGTCCATTATTATCTGAAGTGGGCACTGGCCACTCTTCTGGCCACCAGCATCTGACATGCCCTTCCTATGAGACAGAGTCCACCTCCTACTAGAGGAACTGAAAATACATTTTTCCCAGCCTCCCTTGAAGCTTTGACAGAGTACCTTTTACAGGCATCTCCAATCAGACATCACATTCCTGACTGTGAATTAGAAACTGGTGACACGAACAAGACGAGACCATACCAAGTCCATTCTGGTGACAGTGTGGCAGTGGCAGCAGCAGCCCCTCTGGCTTCAGAGGCAGCCATGGTCCTGATGCCAGCACCCCGTGTCCCTGCGCAGGGGCGGTGCTGGCTGCAGCATCTGTTCCTGGGGATGGCAGCAGTGGTTTTGACCCCAGACCAATGCTACAGGGTTGGGCCTGGCTCCTGAGGTCCTGAGGGCTGCCCGTCATCCTTTTAACAAAGCCCTGTTTTGCTTAAATCAGACAGTAGGTTTCTATTTCCTGCAGTCACCCAGACTGATTCGGTAGCCTGAGTTTCCGGATGGGGAAATGAAGGCCCAAAGAGATGTTGAGACAGGCTGGGTTTCGTCTCTAGCTGAGGTACAGGCCAGTCTCCTCCCTGGTTTACAAACGGGAAAAGGGAAGTCCAGAGAGGGCCACAACTTTAGCAGCATCTTTCAAGTAATGAGGAGCAAGGCTTGAGGGATGTGACTTGGAGCCCCCCCGTCCCAGCCAACAGCTTGGCCATCTGCCACGCTTGGCTTTCCTCTGTTAAAAACCCTGCCACCCAGCCTGCCCCCAAACACCCTGCCTCCCTCAAAGGGATGAAGAAGAGCCCCGGAGCAGAAGGAACTGAGAGCTTGTGCTTCTGCTCACTCAGCTGGGACTCTTCTGCCCAGCATGACTGACTCCTCCAGAAGGGGTCAGGGCCTCCCTCCCTGCCTATCCCATGAGCACCTTTTCTTTCTTTTTTTTTTAAAATAAATTTATTTATTTTATTTATTTATTTTTGGCTGTGTTGGGTCTTCGTTGCTGCGTGCAGGCTTTCTCTAGTTGTGGCGAGCAGGGGCTACTCTTCGTTGCGGTGCGTGGGCTTGTCATTGCGGTGGCTTCTCTTGTTGTGGGAGCATGGGCTCTAGGCGCGCGGGCTTCAGTAGTTGTGGCACGCGGGCTCTAGAGTGCAGGCTGAGTAGTTGTGGCGCACAGGCTTAGTTGCTCCACAGCATGTGGGATCTTCCCGGGCCAGGGATCAAACCCGTGTCCCTGCATTGGCAGGCAGATTCTTAACCACTGCGTCACCAGGGAAGTCCTAAGCACCTTTTTTTTTTTTTTTACAATAAATTTATTTATTTATTTATTTATGGCCATGTCGGGTCTTGTTACTGCACGCGGGCTTTCTCTAGTTGCAGTGAGCGGGGGCTACTCTTCGTTGAGGTGCGAGGCCTTCTCATTGTGGTGGCTTCTCTTGTTGCGGAGCACGGGCTGTAGGCACAAGGGCTTCAGTAGTTGTGGCACATGGGCTTAGTTGCTCTGCGGCATGTGGGATATTCCCAGACCAGGGCTCGAACCTGTGTCCCCTGCATTGGCAGGCGGATTCTTAACCACTGCGCCACCAGGGAAGTCCCCTAAGCACCTTTTCTTGATGCAATAGCTCCCTGGTAGGGGAGTATTCTCAGAATCACATTGCTTCATCATCTATTAAAGCTCTATTTTTTAGGGGTTTAAATCCTCAACCTAACCCCACACACACAAATGCCCACGTGGGGTTCATGAATTATCTAAACCAGATGGATTTGTCTGCATTAGTTCAAGTCTATGGCAGACACCATTCCACACACAGATCTGTCTGTGTGCAGATGTGTCACAGTGTCAAAGCTCTTATTAGGCAGCCTTTTACATCCTCCTGGGGCCTGTATTCCAATTCAGAACAGGCTAGGCCTCATGAATTACGTTACTAGAACATCAACAGTTAGTTTTATTCAATAACCAGGCCTGAAATTATTGGAAAGGATAGAATTCAGAAAAGCCTGAAAGAATCTATAATGCAATAATAACAGTTTTATCCTCAGTAATCACAAGGACTATTTATTGAGCACTTCATCCATGTGTCTGGCACTATGCTAGGCATTTTATGCCATCATTTAATTCTTAGGAGCCCTTTGAGGTCAGCATTATCCCAGTTTTACAGAGTATAACATGAAGCCTCAGAGAGAATAAGTCACACAGCCGGGAAATTATAGAACCAGCCTGTACTCTTAAGGACCGGTTCCAGGCTTGTATATGTAGAACCAGTTTCCTGGACGTTTTGGATGTAGAGGTTTACTCTGTCACCACCTCCCCTCATCATCCCTTTACAAAGGAGGAAACTGAGAGGCAAGAATTTCCCCAAGGTGAGCCCCAGAGTTGTAAGGAGGACCCAAGCTTGCTACCTTCTGTGCAGTTTATATACTGCACCCCAAGCAGGAATGTGCACCCCATCTGGGGCCACCAAATCTTACCAGCTTCCTAAACGTTGCAGAGTCGGTTAATTCAAAGTCATAGTAGCTTTCACAGAAGCCTGGAGCCGAGGGAAAGCTGGGACCTCATTACAAACCAGCCCAGTTAAAGGTTCAGTGAAGGGGGAGACGCACTGAAGGACCCTTTGACGTCTCAGCCCGCACCATCCTGGACCTCCCAGATGACCTGGTCCAACACAGCCACTCTGCACCGGAAAGGCCGGAATCGGGAGGGGCAGAGCCCTGCCCAAGGTCAGTGGCAGAGCCTGAATAGAACCGCTGTCTCCAGGAGCCCTCCTCTTGAGCTGTCTTGCCCAAGTAAATTTTTTCAGGTCATCACATTTCCATTCACCCTACAGTAGGACTCCATCCAGGGACTTTGGTGTTCCCTCTTTTGGGGTAACAGGTGAGAGCAACGTCACTGGGACTGACCAGAGTGAGCCTGAGCACAAAAGGGGTCCCCAGTTCCCTTTCCTGCTCGCTCAGATAATGGAGGGTGAATGGGGGAGAGCAGGGACCTCGCCACATTCGGGGGGGGGCGGGGCAAGGGCCCAGAACACCTCTGGCTGGAGTCACTCCCGCATGAGTTCCCCAAGGAAACCCTAGGGCTCTGAAAACGGGGGACGACGACCCAAATCCCCCTCAGCGCCTGGCTCTTCCCAACCCCCCCAGGGCTTTTCCCCAGCAGCTCCCACCCGGCGACAGGGACGGGGGAGGGGGTGCTGTCTCCTCCAGGCTCCTGGGGAATCTAAACAAAGACTGGGGCAGAGACCGCTCCCTCCCGCGGGAGCCCGACGCCACGCGGCTACCAGGGGACTGGCGGCGCGGGCGGGGCCTCCCACCGCCCCCGGCGCACTCCGAGCAGCGGGGGACCCTTCCTCCGGGCGCCTGCAGGAGGTGAGGAGCAGGCCGATCGACCCGGGGTCTCCGCTAGGTTCGGATGTCCGGGGGTCTAGCTCGCCAGCCCACTGGGCACTCCAGCCGCAGCAGGAGGCGGAAGCCGAGCGCTTAGAACCGCCTCCCGGGTCCAGACCCCAGGCCCGGCCCAGCACCCGGGCCGAGCTCCCACGCTCCCCGCGCCCTCGTGGGCACGCCCCCCGCGGCGCACCACCCCCGGCCCGGCCCCCGCCCCCAGCAGCGGCGGCTCTGCAGAGGGGTCGGGCGCTGCCTGCACCTGCACCCGCGCGTTGGCTGCAGCAGCGCAGAGGCCCGGCTCCCCGCCTGCGCGTCTGTCTTACTCGCCTCACCCTAGGTGAGTCGGCGGCGCCCCGAGACCCATCTCCCCCCATTCCCCAGCCACTGCGGCCGCGGCCGACCCCCCGCCCCGGCGCAGCCCCCGCGAGCGGGCCGCCTTGTCGCCGGGCCACACTTCGCCTACGAGGGCGGCAACCCCCCCCCCCCCCCCAGCCCACTCCGCCCCGCTCGGGCTCTTCCTCCTCGCCTTCCCGGCCAGAGGCGCGGATCCCCAGGGCCACGGCCCCGCGGTCGCCCGCGCCTCCCTGATCGCGACATCGGGGGCGGCCGGGCCTCTTTGTTCGGACGGCGGCACAGGGGCCCACTCCCGCCGCCTCCCAGAGTGTCACCTGCACCCACCCCGCGCGCTCTCTCAGCCTCCCGGAGTTCACCCGGACCAGGTGGCGGCGGGCGCCTTTGAGGGGTGCGCGGCCGTGCAATTGGTGGATTTTTTTAAACCTGTTTGGAGGGGGGAGCGCGGTGTGGGGGGCGGCGAGAGCTCTCCCGGCTCCCGGCTGCTCTTCCTGCTTCACTTCTCACTCTCCTGCTGTTTCCCTCCTCGCCTCCCGCGCTCCTCTCCCCTGCTCGGCTGAGCGCGGGGCGCAGACATGAAGGTGCTGGGACACAAGATAGAGCTGCTGACAGGTACCGCCGGCCTCTCCCCGCCGCTGCCCCTCTGCGCGGCCCTCGCTGCCCGCTACTTTCCGAGTTGGAGCGGGGCTTGGTGGCTGTGGCCGCGGGTTTGGGGTGACTCGGGTTCGAGCAGGAGGAGGGGGTGCAGATACCAGCCAAGTCCTAGCTTGTGCGCTGCGGGTTTCTGTGCGGAGCCTGGCCCCGGGAGAGGACTTGGGGCGGTGCCCTGCTCGGCTTTGCTCTCTGAGGGGCCCGGCGTTTGGGTGGGTAGAGCGCTTGCCGCAGGGGCGCGCGTTCGAGGACTGGCCGCCTGGAGTCTCCGACTAGTCAAGCTCTAGGCAGGTCCCCAAAAAGGGAAAGAGAGCTTAGAGCCCCTGCCCTTCAATCAGTGTCACTCAGTCACCCCAAGAAAGGAGCTTCCTGGGCTCCCAACAGGACCTCTGCCGTGGGCCTCTGAGTTCCTGCTCCCCGTGAGAATCTGAGCACCTGTCCCTGGGAGGAGAAGTTACTTGCTCGGAGTAGAGGCCAAGTGGCCAGGAAAGTGGGAAGCCAGATTGGGCCCTGGTGACTGGGGAACTTCAGCCTTGGGGCCCCTGTGAAGAAATGGCCAGACACCCCACTGGAAACCATATCCTGGGTGCTGTGGCTGAAGATAACAGAGGACACAGGGTCTGCCCAGAAGAGTAGGCGGGACAGGGGCCAGGGATCTGAAGGGTGGAGACGCTCTCCCAGGCATGAAGGGCAAACAGTACAGGTGGCTTCTGTTGTCTCCCCAAGGGAGAGGTGGGGAGAGACTTAGACAGGAGGATGGGGGCTAAGAAAGGGAAACAGTTGAGAAGTGCAGATCCCACCAGATCCTGGGCTGTAGAAGTGCTCGATCAATGTGTACTGGATGGACATGTGGATTCCAGAAATCGTTCCCTGGCGCCTGGGAGGTTTGATCCCTGACTTGGAGGACCTTACCATCTGTGCAAGGGAACAGCACAGGAGCCCTGTTACAAGAAAGGGAAGGGGGCAACAGTGTGAGGACACACTCAGGAAACAGGTTGGAGTCTGGGGGGGGGGGGCAGGAGGAGAGCAGATAGATTTGAGCACGTGGCAGCGTTTGAACTGGACCCTAAATGACAGAACTTCTGTTAACCGAGTGGGAGGTGGCATTACAGGCTGAAGGATGGACGGACCAGCGTACGCAGAGGCCCTGGGATGTGAGAGAGGCTTGAACGGGGAGTGATGTGACGTGAAGCGGAGGCCGAAGGGCCTGGAGTGTGTGGGATGGGGTGGGCTGGGGGTTGGGTGAAGTTTCGGGCTGTGAGTACGTGTTCAAGTAACAGTGGCCACTCCTTAGCTCACGCCAAGCTCAGAGGGAAGAGAAGGTGGGCGCTGTTCCTGGAGCGCTAGAAACACTGGCCAGGTGCTCAGAAGTGCGAGATCTGAGCCCAGTTAGCCGTGCGGCTGGCACCCCCCCACCCCAATCCCTTGCCAGCTTGCCTTGTAGAGCTCACCTGAGGCAGGCCAGTCCTCCTGACTTCAAAGGGAACCACAGCAGCGGCTGAACTTGTTAATCCCCCCCCCTCCCGGAGGGAAAGTTTGCACCACCCCGTGGGTTTTTAGAGCCCTGCATGCAGGACAGAACTCCTAGATCCTTCCCCTTCTCCTCTTCCAGCCCCAGAAGGGCCTGGAGGAGGAGTGTTCGTGGGAGACATGCGTGAGGGCTGCAACGGGGGTCCAGGCTTTGGGGTTCCAATACAGTGTACCCTCGTCTTCTGGGTTCATGGGTCAGGGCCCCTCCTTCCTCATCAGACAGACGTGCCTGGTTCTCACAGGCTCTCTAGACCCCTGGCCAGTCTGGAACAGGACTCCGTCGGTCACCATCATCAGTCTTGGACTCCCATTGCACCTCTCACCAGGCCCTGGGAGACAGGGCATCCCTGCCAGCCGCGCCACAGTGGTTTTTCTAGCCTTCCCTCTTTCTCCAGCTGCCTCCCATCCTCTTCCTCGTCCCACTGATCTGGGTTCAAATCCCAGCCCCGGTTCTGGCCAGCCGTGTGATTTCAGATAAGCTGCTTAACCTCCCTGACTTCAGTTTTCTTATCTTAGAGATGGAAATGTTGACCCCTCCCTCTGAGAGCTGGCGTGAGGCTCACTGAGATAGTACAGGTGGCACACCCGGATGGGGCCTGGCCCTGGTGGGCACCTCGTGGACTTCATCTCCCCTCAGGTTCCTTGGTCTTGGCTGTCCCTGTGATGGAGGGGTCCAGCTGCGCTGGCCGGTTGGCCATGAGGAAGTTTGGATCCATCTCCACCCACTTTATCCGTGTCACGTGCATCTGTGAGATTTTGACCCATCTGCTCTGTTGGATGATGGGCAGGTCACAAGGTGGTGGCCGGTTTATTGTGGTGGCATACAGCAAGTGCTCAGTAGTTGTTGAGTGAGTCCAGGCTCAGCAGCGTCTCCAGGATGATTTCTTAGAGGTCTCCAACTCCTTGCCCCACACCAGCATTAGGAAATTATTTCACTGAACCTTTTGTTAAACTCACGTTTATTTAGCTGTTTATAGTTCTCACATTCTCCCATTTTATCATCATGATCATTTACCAATGAGGTCAGCCTCTGCCTCACGTCCTGCGGCTGAGAAGAGGTGGAGCTGGGTTTCAAACCTGAGTCCTGAGCCCTGAGCCATCCCATGCATTTCTTTTTTATTTTTTTTAATCTTTCGTGTTCGCCTTCCTGCCTGCCTTCCTTCCTTCTCCACACAGCATGTGGGATTTTAGTTCCCTGACCCACACCCTGTGCACTGAAAGCACGGAGTCTTAACCACTGGACCACCAGGAAAGTCCCCCCATGCGTTTCTAATTGCCTGGCTCCGGGCCAGTCTCATAGCTGCTCTACATTTCACTTTCCTCATCTGTGAAATAGGTTCGTTGTGGTACCTCCCATACAGGTGTGAGACTGTATGCGTGTAAAACGTTGAGAGCAACATCTGGCAGGCAGGCAGCAAATGGCAGGTGTAGGGCTGTTGTCCCCGAGCTGCCTTCTCTGGGTCCTGGAGTCTCCTCCCCTTCCCCCTGTGCTCCAGTCATCAGATTCCCTTCCTCAGGGAAGTTCCAGTTCCTCCTCTGGGTTCTCCACACAATCCAGGCCTCCCTGAGATGTGCCTCTGGGGGACCCTGCTTTGGCCTCAGGTTCCCGTCACCTGGGACAAGGTGAGGCACGACATCTGGGGTTGGGCCCTGCTGGCCGGACATCCACAGCTCTGACACCAGGTGGGCAAAGCCAGGTACCCCTCACTTGGCTGGAAGGATGCCCATGAGTTGTCACACGCAGCCCGAACATGTCTTTTTGTTCCAGAGGGAAGAAGGGGCTGTTCCTTCACAGGTGAGCGATGCTTAGGCGGCCGGCACTTAGAATTCCAGACACCTTTACAGAGTTTTCCGGTGTAGGGAGGGCAGGGATTTGGGAATCAGAGGATGTGAATTTCAGGGTTTCCTCTCCACTTGTCAGCTCCCGAGCAAATTCTTAATTTCTCTCAGCCTCAGTCTCCTTATCAATAAATGGGAATAAAGGCCCTTCCTCATTAGCGTGGTGAGAAGGAGCCCGGAACTCTGTCCTGCCCACACACAAGCTCCCTGTAGAGTCCCCAGAGGGCAGACTCTCGGTGCCTTTTTTTTATTTCTTCGTGAGATGGGGAAAAGTGGGACATTCGTCTGTTTGCAAGTAGAAAGGTGATGGTTTTTGTGCATTTATACTCCAATGGTCTGTCTCCAAGATGGTTCAGAGTCAGAGATCTAAAATGGCAGATTGAGGGCTCTGAAATAGTCCCTTGGGAGCCTCAGTATTAGACGTTGGAAATTTTAAAAAATATACTTGATGTGTGATTAGAAAGCAAGCCTTTTGCCAGTTCAGTCTGGAATTTTGGTATCATTTTAATGCATGGAATGTGTATTTAAATAATGTTTGATTGTTGGCAGGTGTGTTGACCATATATTTATATGTGGGGGAAACGGAGGCATTGATTTACCCCAGGAGGCTGAAAATAGGACCCTGCATCCTCATGTCCAGTTCATCCATTTTAGTAAACTTCACTGCTTCGCTGGGGCACTGCGAGAGATAGGTGTGAGGGGACGCGTGGCCTGCAGGAAGAGGGGAGAAGGGAGCAGTTCATTAAGTGGGGTGTGGGGAGACGGGCAAGCTGTTCCACTGGTGCAACTTCTATAAAGGGCAAGTTGGCAATGATGTATCAAAAGCTTAAAAATATGTATGATCTGTGACTCAGCAGTTGAATTTTTAGGAAAAAGTAAAGATGTGTTCAGAGGTGTTTGTTCAAGGATGTTATCCCATAGTTGTTTATAGAAGAGAAGAAAAAACGGGAAACAACCTAAATGCCCAACAGTAGGGGAGGTTAAATAAACAGGAGTGCATTCAAACCAGGGAACCCCAGGCAGCTGTGAATTATGCTACCAAAAGTTATTTACCCACCTGAACAGATGTCTCCTTATATACATGTAATAACGTGATGACAGCTCACAACATGGCATTGTCATGTGCCGGGCACAGTCCTGAGCACTTCCTGTATGTTAACTCATGATCATAACAACCCTGTGAGGTATGTGCCGTTATTTCCTCCTTTTAACAGATGAGGAAACTGAGGCACAGGTTAAGTAACGTGCTTAAGGTCACACAGATGGCAAGTAACTGGCTGAAATTTGCACCAGGTTATCTGACTCCAGAGTCCAAAATATGTTTCAGTTTAAAAAAACAAAAACCTTTTTTTCAGTGTATAGATTATTAGCACTGAAAATGAAAGGAGATAAGCAAAAATGTTAACAGTGTTTTCCTCTGGTTACTGGGATTGTATGTGATTTTTTATTTCTTTTTGCCCTTTTGCTTCTCTGACTTTGCTCAGTGAATGTGTATTGCGTGAAATTCAAGATCTATTTTTAAAAATGAAAAATTAACAAATGTACAGGGGAGAGTGCTAAGCGCTGGGGTTCGGATGAAACCAGAATTCCTA